ATTCTATGATTCTATGATTCTTCTAGGTGTCTGCAAGGTCTGAGAGACTAACCTAACAAAGCTTAATTAAACAGACCTTACTATGCTCTCTGTAGAGGCTGTCTTGAAGCCAGCAGTAACTCAGTCAGTGTGTGAAAAACATTGTTTCCCCTTCAGGATGTGGTTAACTTGTTTTTCAAAACAAGAGGGAGTTAATCTTGCATGGTGTAATTTAGTCATAAATGCTGACCACAGCATCCTGCCTGTTGCTTGTGAAAAATTAATTGGGGAATGCATGTGTTGTGGTTTTTCTGACTAATAACCAAGTTGCTATGGAAACTATCACTCCATCAAACCACCATATGTTATTTCCTGTTGGTCTCTTCCTGGTATCAATGAGTGGAGAAAAACAGCATGTTTCTTTTCTTCTGATATGTGCATTTTCCATCCTCATGCTTATATCAAGATGTCTCTTAAGTGATTTCTCCTTACATATGCGTTTCTTTGTGTTATGATGCAAAATGCCTTGCTGAGCTCTCTTCAAGGTGATCTGAAAGACCAGATCTCATTTGAATCTTCTAAGTCTAGGATTCATGGCCCTACTGAAGCTTTTAAAATGCCAAAGAGAATCTCCACTTCCCTGTCTAGAAAAGACAAATTCCACTAACAGGAAATCCAGGTTATCAAAGCTATCATTTCTAATCTCACTGGTCATTAGGACAGTTAGATTTCAGCAATCTCCATCCCAAATTCAGAAGAAAAAGCACAGGACAAACCACAGGAATTTGGCTTAGTAAAGCTTTATTTTGGTCACTACTATAGTCACCTAAAATGCATGTGCCATACACTTTGCAGAAGAAATGCAGGTTTAATAAAGAAATGCTTCTACGGTTGAACATTATCTGATTGAAATGAAGGACTTCAGATCCAACACAGGTCTTCTAATCTACACTAGCAAATTATTGCTATTAAAGCTATCTAAAAATATTAAAGCTACAAATAGCATCTACTGTGCCTGAATTCTCTCAGCTGTAATACATCAGTTCTACAGACAGTAATGCAATATGACTGTAAAAGGTGTTTTAAAAGGGTTATATAACTATAGTGAGGTCTGGATTCTGCAAAACAGTTGAAGCAGATTGGATGCTTCTATGCAAAGGCTAGAAAAGTGGAAAGAGCAATTTCTACTTAGCAGGGGGGATCAGGAAAAATGCACTCTCCTCAGTTCACAGAGAAAAAGAAATAGCAAAAGCAGTTACAACTCTTAAAACTAAATAAAATAGCTAGACAGGTTTTAATAATATAAAATGCCTTAAGGGGAAGGTGCTGTGATGTGTTCTGGATGGATGTTGTCAGCAGATTTGACATTGGCTGTTGAACCCTTTGCGCTGCTGGTACACTTTCTCTCCTGCTGTTCTTGTTCTTGGTTGTTCAAGGTTGTTCTTGCCTTGCCTCCCCACTGTCTGGAAGAGCAAAGTGTGTTTTAAATGACATTTAATGCAATTGAGCCTACCTGCCACTGTTGACAGCTATCAGATCAAGACAGGTAGACTCACAAAACTTAGGCTGTACTATCTTTTGTGCCTCTTTGGATAGCTTAATTTAAAAATCCTCCCTCTTCTTCTCCTTTCTCCCACATTTGTGTTTTGGGAACCTTGCTTTTGACTCATTATTTGTCTGGATTTTTCTCCAGATGCTGTGCCCTGCTTTTGAAATTGTCAGTGAAATATTTTTTAGGCACTTCTGGTAATATCTGAGTTGCTCTGACAAAGCAAGTTTGATGCAAAGAAAATCTGGGGACCAGTCACTGAGAACTGAGTTGTGGATGCAGGAAGGGGCTCTTTTCTTTGTGGTTTGGGAGGGAGGGTGCAGGGTTTTTTGGTTGGTTTTTGGGTTGATTTTTGGTTGGGTTTTTTGGCTTGTTTTTTTGTGGGTTTTTGTTGTTGTTGTTGCTGGTTTTGTTTTCTCCAGAAATCTAGAAGAGCTATTTAAAGGAAACAGGAGCAGATGAACAGGTATCTTCTTGTGGGGTCAGAGAAGTACACAAAGACAGGTGGTCACTCCTGGCATGTGCTTCCAGTATTTCTACAGGTCAAGCTATGTGCTTCCTTACCTCAGAAAAGAAACAATTTGATAGTCATGAGTGTATTGAAGGCAATACTTTTTGCAAGCAGGACTCTCAGACCCAACACAGCCATAGACAACATGTTCGCTTTCTCCGTTTTGGTATCTGATTAGTGACAGAGAAAAGATGGGAGAGATCATGATCTAGCAGTGGATATTGTGATATTGTCATAAAGTGGAGAAAAACCCACAGGCAACAGTTTCAGAAAGAAACAGCAGCAAAGGAAAAGATGACAGAGACATATGGCAACAACAGGGGAGGATGATGTCTGTCTAGACTGGATTTTGCATCCTGTTGCTTGTCTGTTGCTAAACTAACTACCTTGAAAAAGCAGGTTGTGTTTTATTAACATGTTGTATTGTGATTATCCTTATATTTACATTTCCATGTATTTGTCTTCAACATAGTAATATAACTTCACAATTTATTTAGGTAACTAACCTTGTGCAGAGGTGTCTGGGGTGTTGCAAACCTCCTCTGTTACTGATTCTTCAGCCTTATTTTCTGTAGCATGATAAAGAAAAGACATAATAAACTATCCAAATTTAAAAAAGAATTAAACAAAAAGTTCATATGACCCCTCCCATAGGAATATGTGGGCAGTGCAGTCTGAGGCTCAGATGATCAGTCACTAATTCTAACATGAATTTGAGGAGAAAATTTCTCCATGCAATTGCAGGAAATAAAAGAATTCCTGAGTTTTTTTTTTTTTACTATTTGAATGAGCTTTATTATGACAAAAACAATCCCCCAAAATATAAAAAGTTATTTAGGAAAAAAGCCACCACACGACCACTTTAACTTTTTGCTGTTTTTAGAAAGGCTATTTCAGGCTGTGCTCTAGGAGGTTTGCTGCTATGTGGTGAAGTATTTAGTCATAAGTAAATGTACATTAAAAAAAAAATTGCATCTTTTTTCCTCAAAAAAAAAAAAAGTAACTCCAAGTTTATAAGTAAATGTACATAAAAAAAAAAATTGCATCTTTTTTCCCCCCCAAAAAAAAAAAAAGTAACTCCAAGTTGTTAAACAGTTAAGAACATTCATTTTAGATGCTTTTAAATATCTTTCAGCTCTAGCTGCTTAAGTGCAGATGTCTTTCCCATTTCTGCTGGTTACCCAGGGCAATGCTTACTAGCAGAAGAAATAGCAAGCACTGGAAGACACTGCCTCCAGAAATAAATTGCAGTTGTACCACAAAAGTGTACCTGGCAATGTTGCGTTGGCTGTAACAGTGCTGTTGTTGAATTGGGCTGTACAGGTCACCTCTGTGCCTTTTGTCACATTGACTACCTTAATAGCATTGTATGCTGCCTCTGATGTCAAAATGGGTGTACTCTGTTCATATACGACCTCATTAGAGGACATCTCCAAGCTGATCTTCTTTGGATAGAACTTCCTTGCCAAACAAGCTGCTTTCCCAGTGGTGCCATCTTCATCCAGTTTCTTTGATTTCATCACAATGACTTCCGGGACAGAAGTTGTTTGATTGTCTGTAAAAAGAGAAAAAACAAGAACAAGAACAAGAAAAAGAAAAAGAACAACAACCACCACATTGTTTGGGTATGATTTGATATTATTGCAAGCTTTCCTGAGTGCTAGGTCACCTAAAGTTCATATATACTCTAACTGTAACTAATTCCTAGCATTATCAATGACTATCTGTCTCTTTTTTGTAGCTATTTCTTGCTACTGTTTCCAAAAGATCAGATCAAAGGCAGAAAGGGTGCATGAGAGTAGGTTTTCTTACAGGAGCTTTAATTCCACAGGATTCTAAGCTTCCTTTTGCCAGTGCTCACACCTATATGTGAATTCTTTATTTTATAGGTAAGAGACCTGCAAATGAGAATTTTTAGGCATGCCACTCCAAGAGTCAAATTATTCTTTCCTAACAATTTAATTCCTAAAAATAACACTTCTATCAAGGACTGTCTGGTATATTCAAGAGACATGAGGGAATAACTGTTTTTCCCTCACATTACCTCCCCTCCCCCAAATCTTCTTCTGATGTGGCTAAAAGGTCTAACCATAGCAAGAGTGGTAGGGCAAAGACAAGCCAGTTTGTTGCTTCACTGTTGTGCAAAGTTACTCCAATGAACGACGTTACTTGCAGAAAAGAAGTAGCGCTGCTGGAGTAGGGGACAAGGTTGATAATTTCAATAACAAATGCTCAGATGTAAGAAGCACATTAGGCCTTGAATTTTGCATGGCATCTGCCTTGCAGTCTCGTCAAGAGAACCCTCAAGTCTAACATTTTGTTCATCACAGGATGTTTTTTCAAGTTCTGTTCAGGAGGCTCTGCTTTTGCTTTCTTTCCCCCAGCACCCACACCCCAATACTGAGGAACTGAGGTGAAAGCCAAGACTTATTAGGATGCCTCAGTAAGTGGATAGACAGGTCCTAAAGAAATTCATCTTGATAGCAGCCAGGACTTGCCCTTGTGGAGCCCAAATTATTTGGCAGCTCCTGAGAAGTGCATTTAGCATGGTTTTTATACTTAAATTGCCTAATTGTATATCAAAAGGTTACGTATAGAAAACCTAAGGTCTAATTAGTGATTTCAAAGGATGAGGGAGTGGTTGCCTGAATTTTAGGAGGAAGAATTTTTTTTTTTTTTTTTCTTAAAAAGGTTTCAATTCAAAAAATAACAACCAGAAAAGGTTAATGCATAAAGAATACCTACTTGGCTCCACGGTCAGTTGGGTCCCCTTTCCAAAAACAAGAGCAGCAGAAGCACACGGTTAGAACATGTAAATCAAAAATGGCTCAATTTATTCTTCCTCCTGCACACATTTCCTTTACAGGTGCTGTAACATGGTTTTGCCAGAGCCTCTTAGTCTTGTGCATTGTTTGTTATCTGAGAAGACCTTTAGAGGCTTTTCACATTTTCTGATCCAGTATTTCCAAACAGCCAGTGTACAACGAGCTGCTTCTCTGGCATAACTTAGCAAGAACAATTGTACATTGTGCAATTGTAGTTAATAAAGCAGAATTATTTATCACATCCCAGAAGCCTTAACTTTGTCCCACTATTTTGCATTACCTCAAAATACAGCCATGAATTTCTACCACTGCTTGTTTTTGGGAGGAGTTTTTATATCACATTCTGGCAGGAGCATTTTATTAGCACAAAAAGTTGTACTTTTTTATTCCTTTAACCTTACAAAGTCATGACAAGAGCTGTATATTCCATAATGTTGTGGGCCTTAATTTTCTTAATGTAAGTTTTATCTAGAAAAACAAAACAAAACAAAAACCTTATCTGTGTTTAAATGAGCTCTCAAGGGGAGAATGTGCCTTGAATAGCCTATAGCAACTTCTAATGAGTGCTTTCTGTGTCGTTTTGTTTTCAGGGATTCTCAGAAGATTCAGGTACATCTGTTCTTAGCATCTTAAAATGCATATTAGTATCTCCCAAAGAAATCTAAATTTAGGAACAAAAGGGTCAGGTTCCTCAAATTCTGGAAATTTTGACTTCAATTTATTAACTATTTCAACAGACACTGAGTGACTTGGATGCTTAAGGCCTATTATCTTTTACTATCAAACATAATCCTAAAGTCTGCGCATCTTTGAAAATTTCATCCTATCCTTAGCTAGAAAAAATCATTGAACAGCATCGGAACTTCACTCAACTAAATTTTCATGTAATTTTGTATTAAGATGTCAGAGAGGATAGATAAGCAGGAAAAACAGAAAAAAAAAATATGTAAAGCATTTCAAGGTAGAGCAGAAAAAAAGGCTAATACCTTTTTTTTTTTTTTTTTTTTTTTTTTGTCAAATGAATTGTTCTTTAACCCAAATTGTGTGAAACTCAGTGAGGATGTTTTTGAAATTTGAGTAATGTACTGTAAGGATTTCCTTAAACCGAGAATGCCTTGTTGCAGTCAGTGAGCCACATGCTACTTTCAGCTGATTAGAAACAAATCTTTTCTTGTCAGCAGAAGAACCAACACACTCAACTTCTTTTAAAAAGCCCATAGATTATTTATGTGAGAAATAAGAATATCATATCAGCAATTCTTTAAATGTCTGAAATGGCAATATCCTTGCTCACCTTTCCACCTGCCGGCTCTTAGATTGTGTTTTGTTGGTTGCTTTTTCCTGATGAATTCTAGTGTTTTCTATGGGATATTTTACCTCTTTTTTTTCTTTTCTTTTCTTTTTTTTTTTTTTATTTGACAAATGCCATCTTCAATTCAATGTTGATAGTTGTCAAAATAATGGAAAATGGCAGGTTTTTTTAGGTCCTACATTTACAAGCCTAAGCAACTTGGTAGTCAGTTTTCATTCATTCTAAGTGGTCTTTGATATGAGGCAGCTGTGAAAATTTAAGGCCAAGGATATTTAACGTCCTTCCTCCTCTGTCTCCATGCCAGTGGAATTACTTACCTGGTGACACTATGAGTGTGGTGCCAGTGTCAAAAACTGCTAAAGATCTGTCTCAAAGCTTCTCTCCACTGTCAGCTCCTCACTGAGCTGTCCCTTCCTGCTCAGAATGCGACAGTGAAAATCCACTGGAGGATAGGACACTTCACAGCACATTTGGGCCAGAGTGCTATCCAGACTGGGAATAAGTTATAACATGTTAAAGTTAAGTAGTGCACACCAGGTGTTTGGGGATCATCAAGTACTGTTGATATACAGAGGTAGCCGTTATTCCTTTAAAATCTTCCTGAACAGATACAGCCCGAGGATTCAGCTTGAAACTCTGGCTGGAGAGAGTGTATCATAGGGATTATTGCAGAAGAAAATTCCTATAGTGAACCCAAACCATCAGAATCCTTTGTCCTCCCTTTAATTTTAACATGATTTTTAGAAATAAAATAATTATACTTACTTGGTTCAACTGTGAGAGTGGTCCCATTTCCAAATATAAGTTTATCTGTCCTCACACTGCTAATACTTAGTGCAATAAATGACTCTTTCCACATGGTATTCAAAATTGTTGTAAAAACAGCAGATGAAAAGCCAGATATTTGTCCTAATTACCTCTGTGTGCAAGCCCATTAGGGTATCCAGAGCCACATTTTCTTCCAAAACTGGATGGAGAAAACCAGTAATTGAATAGTTCAATGATATCAAATAGCTTGATTAAATACAGAATTTCCAAGTTGTCCTTTTCTTCCATCTTTTAAAAACCCTTTGAATTCTACTTTTCCAGGACAAATAGAAATATGAAAAGAATGCTGTGTTTGTCTCCTTAATAATTTTGGTCACCCATTTCCTTTCTTCTCCGAAGTATGTTGCCTTTTTTCCATCTTTGGGTTTTTGTACAGGGCCCTATGATGTTTATATCACCGTGTCACTCCAGCCCCCAGGCACAGTGATACAATCCATTACAAAAACTGCCTCTTCCTTTTCACTACACAGCATTTTGGATTATACAGGCAGTCACATGACTTGTTGAGTGGTTTCTGTCCCAACATACCACAAAAGAAACATGATATAGCTTTCAAAGAACAGTCTAAAATAAGACCAAAATATTGAATTATAAGTGAAAATTTTTGAATTATAAAACAACACTGAAAAGTCATAGAATCATAGAATGGTTTGGATTGGAAGGGACCTTAAAGATCATCTAGTTCCAACCCCCCTGCCATCAGCAGGGACACCTTCCACTTGACCAGGTTGCTCAAAGCCTCATCCAGCCTGGCCGAGAACACTTCCAGGGAGGAGCAGCCACAGCTTCTCTGGCCAACCTGGGACACTGTCTCACCACCCTCACAGTGAAAAACTTCTTCCTAATATCTAATCTAAATCTCCCCTCTTTCAGCTTAAAGCCATTTCCCCTTGTTCTGTCACTAGCTGCCCTTATGAAAAGTCCTTCCCCAGCTTTCTTGTAGGTCCCCTTCAGGTACTGGGAGGCCGCTATAAGATCTCCCCGGAGCCTTCTCTTCTCCAGGCTGAACAGCCCCGTCTCTTTCAGCCTGTCCTTACAGGAGAGGTACTCCAGCCCTCAGATCATCCTCGTGGCCTCCTCGTGGCAGTCCCTGTTATCTCCCCTTTCCCCTTCCAATCTAGTTTAAAGCTCTGTCAATGAGCCCCGTGAATTCTTGTTCTGAGACAGGTGTGTCCCATCTTTTGTCTGTAGCTCTGGTGCCATGTAAACATCCCCATGGTCAAAGAAGCCAAAATTCTTCCTGTGGCACCAGCCTCTAAGCCCTGTGTTGATCAGGTGTGTCTTCCTGTTTCTGTCATTAAACCTCCTGGCACTGAAGGGATTGAGGAAAAAATTACCTGTGTCCCTGATCCTGTAACCAGTCTCCCTAATGACGTGAAGCCCTTTTTAATTGCTTTTGGACTTTTCTCTGAAATTTCATCACTACCAGCTTGTATGACCAAAAGCGAGGAGTAGTCTGAGGGCTGCACCAGGCCAAGTTGGTTCTTGCTGATATCCCTGACCCGGGAGGCAGCAGATTTCCCTGTGGGTGGGGTCTGGTCTACATATGGGGCCCTCTGTTCCCCTCAGGAGGGAATAACCTACCACAACTACTCTCCTTTTTTTCTTGATTGAACTAGTCCTGAGCTGTGGGGGTGGTTGATTCACCCTGGGTGAGGGTGATTCACTCCTGGTGAGGGGGAAGGAGTGAGAAAGAGGAATGGATAGATCCTGCTGGTCACAGCTGGTTGCACAGCTGGCATTGGCAAAAGGGACTTGGTTTCTATGACCGCGGGACCCCTTTTGAGGATTGAGAAATATTTGGAAGAGATGAGATTCACCTCACTTAGTGAGACAAAAACATCTTTGCCAACAGACTAGCCAACCTGATAAGAAGAGCTTTAAACTAGGAACAACAGAGGAGGAAGAAGATGATCAAGAGTCAAGTGAGAAAGTGGTGGGAATGATTGCTACAAAATATATGAGGAATGATATGAACAGGACAGGCTTCATAATGATAAAAAAAAAAAAAAAAGACAAACGAGGATGAAAGAAGTGAACTTCAAGTGTGTGTACATCAATAAGAAAGTATCTATGGGGAAACAAAACCAACCCTGTCCTAGTTTCAGCTACAATAGAGCTAATTTTAACCTCAGTAGGTAGAATAATGCTGTGTTTTGGATTTAGTATGGGATTCAGTAAGAGGAGAATGTTGACAATATACTGATGGTTTTAGTTGGTGCTAAGAAATCAAGAACTTTTCAACTTCCCATGCTTTGCTAGTCTGCAGATGCACAAGAAGCTGGGGTGGGGGGAAGCATAGCAAGAGCAACAGATCCAAATTCACCAATGGGACATTCCATATAAAGCAACATCATGTTCCACCCAACCAGGAAGACCAAGCAGATGAGATCCTCTATAGACAGACAGGAACAGCTTCACATTCACAAGCCGTGGTCCTCATGGGGGACTTCAATCACCCTGATATCTGTTGAAAGATCAACACAGGAAGGCTTAAGCAATCCAAGAGGTTCCTTTAATGCATTGATGACAGCTTCCTTCTCCAAGTGATTGATGAGCTGATGAGGAGAAGTGCTATGCTGGACCTTGTTCTCATCAACAAGGAAGGGTTGGTGGGGAAAGTGGAGCTCAAGGGCTTCAAGCTCCTTCACAGAAGGAAGAGGGGCCCAACAAGGGCCAGGGATGTCAAGGCCAACAAGGAAAACTTTTATAGGTACATTGGGGATGAAAGGAAGACTAGGGAAAATGTAGGCCCCCTCTGGAAGGAAACGGGAGACCTGGTCACCCAGAATATGGAGAAGGCTGAGGTATTCAAAGACTGCCTCAGTCTTCACCAATAAGTGCTCGAGTCACACCCCCCAAGTCGTAGAAGGCAGAGGCAGGGACTGGGAGATTGAAGAGCTGCCCACTGTAGGAGAAGACCAGATTCAAGGAACCTGAGGAACCTGAAGGTGCACAAGTCCATGAGACCTAATGAAGTGAATCCACAGGCCCAAAGAGAACTGGTGGATGAAGTTGCCAAACCACTATCCATCATATTTGAGAAGTCATGGCAGTCTGGTGAAGTTCCTATGGACTGGAAAAGGGGTAACATAAACCATATTTTTTAAAAGGGAAACAAGGAAGATCTGGGCAACTACAGACCAGTCAGTCTCACCTCTGTGCCCGGCAAGATCATGGAGCAGATGCTCCTGGAAACTATGCTAAGGCACATGGGAAGTGAGAAGGTAATTGGTGACAGCCAACGTGGCTTCATCAAAGGCAAATTGTGCCTGGTCAATTTGGTGGCTTTCTATGATGGAGTTACAGCATTGGTGGATAAGAGAAGAGCAACTGGTGTCATCTACCTGGACTTCTGCAACACATTTGATACTGTCACACACGACATCCTTATCTCTAAGTTGGAGAGACATGGACTGGACAGATGGACCACTCAGTGGATAAGGAATTGGCTGGATGGTTGCACTCAAAGAATTGCAGTCAGTGGCTCAATGTCCAAGCGGAGACTGGTGGCTGGTGTCCCTCAGGCGTTAGTATTGGAACCAGCGCTGTTTAACATCTTTGCCAGCAATATGGACAGTGGGATTGAATGCACCCTCAGAAAGTTTGCCAATGACACCAAACTGTGTGGTTCAGTTAGGATGCCATCCAGAGGGATCTTGACAGGCTTGAGAGGTGAGCCTGTGCAAACCTCATGAAGTTCAACAAAGCCAAGTGCAAGGTCCTGCACCTGGGTGTATTGGGTTTGTGTGGCAAGGTTTGGCAGGTGGGGGGGATAGGGGTGGCTTCTGTGAGAAG